TAACTGGAGTGGGATTGTGAATTATACCATTTTTCTTCCACTGCGATCCCAAAGCTTATACAGATAGGCATGATGCCAGTATATGCAATATTTTATTATGGTCGTACCAAGTACTCGTGCTTCGCCAGTTGAGGGGGACAGCCTGATATAAGTATGATCTATTGCGTTTCTGAGTATTGTTTGCACATTCGACATCTTATCATTTGCTGTTATTTTGAGGATATGTTTCTCATAATGTCTTGTACGTAAGTCTGGTCTTGTGGCGGCGGGCGTTATCAGGGCCTCTTTTCATCACCTTTTAACCTTCCCTCTCGTGAGCCACGCAAACGTTTGGCATTTCATTAATCCCTGGCCTCTTAATTCTCTTCACGTATTGACCATGAAGCTGCTTTCGTATCCATTTTATCCTTCAGGTCTTCCTTGTCATGGCCTTAATATCTGTAGATAGTAATTCTTCTTCATCCTCGACCGCTTGATTTTCTATTTCCGGTAAATATGTCTTTACAATTTTTATCGCTGACTTCACTACTGACTTTCCAACTCGAGGGTGCCTTTCACATCTCCAAATTTGTCTAACTGAACTTATCATTTCTACGGCTTCTTAAATAATTGGCTATGGATACAACTGTATTATCATAGTCATCTCTAATTGCCTGAGTCCTCTACCTCCTTCTTTACGAGCCTCACATATAGCCTGTCTACATCAGCTCTAGGATGCAGCTGTCCATGAATAGTAAGCATCTTCCTTGTTTACGATCTAGGTCTGCAATTTCCTTCTGACTCCAATCTATGATTCCAAAACTGTATTCTACTATTGGAACAGCTATACTGTTGATGGCTAGCAGTTTATTTCGTGCTGTTAAGTCTGAACGTAGTACCATCCTAAGCCTTCTTAGATATTCTTTACTGATGGTCTCTTTCATTTCATCATTACACAATTCTGGGTTTTCATAAACTCCAAGATATTTATAGCTTTCTCCAGCATCTAGGTTTTTGATGGTAATATTTGCCTGGACTGTTATGTTTTCCGTTTTTTCCACTTTTCCGTTCTTTATTGTCGCTTTGGCGCACTTATCTAATCCGAAGTTCATATGAATTGTGCTACTGAAGTCGTGAACTATCTTAATTTGCTCTTCAAGCGCTGTGTCCGAACTCGCGTATAGCTTTAAATCATCCATGTACAGAAGATGTGTTGTTGGCTGCTCATCTTTGAGTAGTTTATATCCCAATTTTGGCTTTTGATTTAGCATTCTGGACAGGGGGTACATCATCATGCAGAACAGGAGAGGTGATAGTGAATCTCCTTGGAATATTCCAGATTCGATTTTAATCTGCGGGGTATTATTGATAGGTGCATCCTTAGATTGTATCTTTAGCTGGGTGTTCCATTCCTTCATACTTTTTTCACACAGATTGATGATGTTTGGGTCAATTTTGAATATTTTAAGTATTTTCAATATCCACTGGTGTGGTACGCTATCGTAAGCTTTTTGATAATCTATCCAGCATAATGATAGATTTTTCTTTTTACTGTGTACGTCCTTCATTATCTTTTTGTTATATAATAGTAGATCTTTACATCCGTATGAACCTTTGCAGCATCCTCGTTGCTCAGCTGGAATCAACTGTTGAGCTATTAGGTGGTCATATATACGAGACGACATTATCCCAGTTAGTAATTTGTACAGTACGGATAAACAAGTAATGGGTCTGTAATTTTCTGGCTTAGAAGGGTCTCCTTTCTTGTAAATAAGATACGTGATGCCACTATTCATCCACGTGGGCAGATCTTCTTCTCCTTTTAGTATTTTTGTTAAGATTACCGCTAATGTTTTATGGGTGGCACTTATCTTCTTTAACCAGTAATTATGGATTCTGTCAAGCCCACCGGCTTTCCAGTTGGCAGCTTTACTGAGTACATCCTTTTTATTTCCTTCTCCGTGATGCTTTCACCGGTCGTCATGCGTTCTAGGTGCTGATAACTGTCAATAGTTTCCTTCATCCATTCCGTGTTCTCGTCGATAATTTCCTTCCTGCGCCAGATTTCCGACCAATAGTGTACTACATCTGTCTCTCCCGGCACGTCTTGCGGTGTCTCAGCTTTTCCATTAAGTTCTTGGTATAACCTTCTGGTGTCATATTGGAATAAATAATTCTGTCTGCGGAATGCGACTCTTTTATTATACCGCTTTCTACGTTGGGCGTAAGCCTGTATCTTTTGTTTTAGTTGTTCTTCTACTCTTACCCGGTCTTCTAAATTGTTTATGGTGTATCGACATTTCAATTGTTCTAACTTTCTTCTTGTTGCATTTCTCAATTTTGAGTTATCTTCTTCATGGAGGATTGAGAGATCGGATCTGAGTTTTGTGATCTTGGCCTCTATTCGCTTCTCCCAGGGGGCAGAAGTCTCGGTGTATCTATTTTGTAGGTGTCTGATTGGTTCTTCAGTTAATTTTTGATGTGGGCTTACTTTCATTGTTACTATTTTTGCTGTCGCATACAATAGGTGGTTAACCTCCGTAATATTTTCAATCAGTTTGTTTCAAGATTTGTGAAACTGCTTCGTTTGCTTGTTTTACTATCATCTTTAGTTTCATGTTATCTTGGAGTTTTGGTAGTTTCAGTCTCTCGTTTATGGGTGAAGATTTCGTAGAAACGTATTCTTCGAGAATCTCCTGTTTGATAGTATTATCTGTTTGATCTTCACTCATATCTTCTGTATCCGGCTCAGTTGTCACTGAGTCCAACTCACGTTGCTCTCTCACTTCGATCCGTATTGCTTCGCTTACTTTACTTTTCATCGCTCTTATCATATTTTCATTAAATTTTCCGCTGTTCAGTAGATATCTGCGCTGCGTTGCGAGCTTCTTGGAATCCATGTACGGTCTGCTATTAGGATTCCTACTTCTCCACATGTTATAAACCTCTGCTTCGCCTATTGATTGCTTTGCATTGGTATAGTGGTAACACCACATCAGTTCGTTAATTTCTTCATAACTCCAAGGCCTTTTAGTAAGTTGATTTATTCGATTCTCCTTAGAGCGTTGTTCAAGTGATGCTGGGCTCTGACCATGTTCATCAGGGTAACCAGCAGCTCTTTCCGGATGGTTTTCTGTGATCGTTATGGTGTTGAGTCCGGTTTGAAGGGTCCTTTGTGTTACTGATCTAGTGGCGTATGTTGCATTTGCCTGTGTTACCACAGCTGCGTAGTCTTGGTTTTGTCCATTCTCGTTCCTTTGTCTATAGCCTAGGGTGCTGTTAATCCGGGAGGATGCGCCACCCATCACACACTTCACTCCCTTCAGGCTGAGCATCACGACGGTTTCCGAAGAAGGGACCAGCCTCAATCACCTTCCCGCCTCGTAGTTTCGTCTTACTTCTCGTATTCATTTACAGTTAATTATTTTTCACATTGCCTCCGAACAATGGTGCAGCTCAGGGTTTGGCAGAATAAGAAGACTACCAAATCCCGAACTCCCCGTCTAGGGCCGTGGGGGCGACGCTCCCCATGTACCTTCCCTTAAGCCCGGGTCGTAGACCCGACCTTAAAAGTAGATACCCCCTGCGGGGTTATTATATTATTATTATATTATTATTATTATTATTATTATTATTATTATTATTATATTATTATTATTATTATTATTATTATATTATTATTATTATATTATTATATTATTATTATATTATTATTATTATTATGATATTATTATATTATTATTATATTATATTATTATTATATACACAGGCTCGCATCTTAAGGGGGGTCTTCTATGTAACATATTTGAGGGCTTCATTAAAAAGATACGGGGTTGAAGTTTTAAAATAAAAAACAATTTTTCTTAATATCTTGAAAACCGTCAACTGGAATGAACTAAATTTGGTATGTGGATTTACCTAAGCATTGTCCACATTCAAAATTACGCGCACTAGTGGCGGAGATACAAGGGATTAGTGGCATTATTTTTCCGAATAAAAATAGTACGCTACTGTTTCTTTTTTTCGAAACGCGCAAGTTTTTGAATTTTACCCTCAATTAAGTTTTGTCCTAGAGTGCATGTTTTTGTAAAATAAAAAATAAAACAAATTAGATAATCAGAGCTTTATTTCAAAATATTCAAAAAACAACCATTCTGATGGATACAAGTGCATCTTTTAAAGAAATTAATACTATTTCCGAAAAATCTGTTGTGGTTTGAATTTGATGAAACACTTTCTATTCTTTCTTTCTTGTAACTGATCAACAGTATTAAGTTGTTCAGCATATTGCCGAAGTCTTGGAAATGAGCGCGTAAGAACCTTGGCGTCGTTAACATTCAAAAATTGAAAAACGAAACTTTTGACTTGACTTTTGCAAAAAAAAGGTAATAGTAACGATAACAACCGAATAACACATAACTTTGACAACCTATCTCCAAAGAAACGTTATCAAGGCCTCCTATTCTATTTTAAAACTAATTGTATCTCGGCTCTTCATGAATGATATGATTTGTGTTGTTTTTATTTTTACGAAGACAGTGCACTCTAGGAAAAAACACAAGAATTGAAGGGAAAATTCGAAAAATCGCGCGTTTTGGAAAAAAATCAGTGGCGTACTATTTCTATTGGAAAAATAATGCCACTAATCCCCTGCGTTAATTTTAAGTAAAGACTTTTGAATGTGGACAATACTTGGGTTAATCCACATACCAAATTTTAGTGCATTCCAGTTGATGGTTTTGAAGATATCCAAAAATGTTTAAACTTCAACTTAAACTTCTTTAATGAAGCCTTCGGTGGAAAAAGTGTTACATAGACCCCCTTAAGATGCGGTCCTGTGTATGATGCTTCCATTCTGGTCATGACTTGTGAATCACCCTATATATAAATTTCGGTCTCACGAAAAGTAGCATCATCACCTGTTTCATTCCCCACAAGCTATTTGGTTAACTCTCAAAGTTAATGACAGTAGCAATTCATCTTCTTATATATAATTTTCGGAGTCATGAAAAGTAGCATAATCACCTGTTTCGCAGTTCCTCCATGGCTTTGAGTCTGTCATTGGCCAAAGACATCCACCTCACGTTCTCTTCTCTGCTGGATTGAAGTTGGGCTTCCAAGCTTGATATCTTGGTATGCAACTCTGAGGTGTGCTTTTCCAGTGCATGCACCTGTGAAATATACTGTTCCAAAGCAGCTCTATTGGGTTGCTGTTTTGCAAATGTCTCTTTCTGACTAAAAATTTATATAGATCAAAATAGGCACACGAATATATTATCTAACATAACCCTCAAGGGTACCTTTCATTCTTATGCTTTTCCTCCAGAAGGCAGGCTTTCAGCTTTTGTAGCTCTTCTTGCAAACTTGCAGCTGCTAAACTATGCTTGTCTCTGTCGACTTTCAATAGCGTTTGATACTTTATAATTATTTCCTTTCTTCATCTTTGAACTTAGTCTGTCTTGAAGATCCTTTATAGAACCCTGAAGCATGTAGCATGTTAATGAATATCAAAGCGTACATTACTGCAACTAGTTAAATACGATCAGAGCTGATTCGTTGAGTATTGTAATTAAAAAACATTTGAGGTTTATATGAAAGGACCTTTCATCAGGACCTTACAACGATCAATATAAAACAATTTCAAAAACGAAAAACCAATATATCTTGACATACCTTCAGCGCGCTATAAGTTCATTCTGTAATTGAGTTTCGGTGCCAACAGAAATATTGTCACTCCGGCACCACCACTAGAATTCATTATTTCATCCTTCTTGTTTTGCAATTCCACGATGTGTCTCTCATAAAAACTAATTTGACTTTGCTTGTCTCCGATTTGCTTCCTGAATAGATTAATCGCCATCTCATTCTCACTGGTTATCGTAATAATAGAAATTTTATTCCTAGAAATATAATCTACGTCCGCGGTTCGTGCGGCCCAACGATATTTGGTTTTTAACCCTTTGCTATCAATCGCAGCCTACTAGCTGCTTGAGCTAACTCAGCAGGCGACTGGAGCTCGCGGTAAAACTCTTGATTATCATTATGTATATTGCTATGCCATAACTCCGCGAGACGTATGATTATCTTTCATTAAACATAAGTTGTTTGGAGAGATTGCTTATTTGTTATTCATTATTATTTATCTTGATAGCGAACCGAAGGGTTCTAAATCATACCCAAATTGAAGAATTTCTTAATGAAAGTGAAGGAATTTCGTTATCAGAATGTGGAATTGAAGTTGAAGACAACGTCTCAGGAGATGACGTGCAGGGTGGTACTGAAGTTAAATTGGTCAAAGAAGCTGAAGATCCATCAAAGTCTGTTCCAAATGATGGTGAAATCATAACGCTAAGTGCCACCTACAAAAAAATATTATTCGTATTGTTCATATGGGTTGGACAGTCAGATGTGTTCAAGAGTTGACCTACTCACGAAACGGCTTGAAGACTTGCAGATTCCAATTCCGATCTCAGAAGATACATTTTGAGCCAGGGATTTTGTGTTAAACTATATACAGGGTGTTCCTTAATGATATGCGAATGTTTAAGGGGTCAATCTACATGAAAAATTAATGTTAGTTTGCTTTATAAACTATGGTCCAAAAATGTTTCCTTACAAAAACTCGGTGGGCTGAAGTTTCAGGAAAATGGAAATTAATTAATATTTTTACTGATCTTTTTGCCAAATAACATTTTTTGAATTCCTCGTTCAATTTAAAACAAATAACCACTCTTGAATTGTTTCACTTTGATGTGCCATTTTTGACTAAAAAAATAAAAACCGTTCTATTGTCCGAGAAAATTTATGTAATGATTGAAGAATGAATTTAGCAATAAATATCTAGTTGCTCTGGAATATGTCACTGGCCTTTGACATCTGACAAGTCTCTGCTATTCAAATCTGTTCGATGTGACATCTTTTTCATTATTTAGTTTTTAAGTCTTGTTAATAATGGTGAAATATTCAAATGCAGAAATGGCGGAAATGCATTACGTGTATGGCCTTGCCGACGGTTATCACCAGAGATATCCCGATCGAGCTTTGCCAGATAGTCGAACCTTTTCTAATATTCATCGTCATTGAAACTGGTTCTGTCCGAAAAGGAACATCTGAAAGTAGACTTCTATGTGTGAGAACACCTAAAATTGAGGAAGCAGTGCTGTCGAAGAACATCCTGAAACGAGTACGAGGAAGATCGCTAGACACTTAAATATTTGCCACCAAATTGTTTTGGAGATTTTAGTGGATTTTTTGTTATATCCTTAACATATTGTAAGAGTACAGGCATTACTCTCCCATTGATTTTCCAAGGCGTGTGACCTTTTGTCAGTGGTATCTTCAAAACATTACACAAAATCCGTAATTTGAATCGATGATTCTGTTCACGGGCGAAGCTAATTTTTCTCGAAATGCCATTCAGAATTTCCACAATAATCATTTGTGGGGGAATAAAATCCCTATGTCGTAACCGAAACCCATTTTCCAACACCAATTTTCGGTTAACGTATGGGCAGGAATTATTGGCAACCACTTTATTGGCCCATTCTCTTGCCGGGAGACGACTGACAGACTCACCTGAATTTGTTCAACAACAGTTGCCTTTGCTGCTTGATGATGTTCCGTTAGTAATAAGAAACAATATGTGGTACATGCATGATGGTGCACCAGAGCATTTCAGTGTAGCGGTTCGTGATTATTTACAAACTCTTTATCCAAATCGTTGGTTTGTCCGCGGTGGGCCCCAAGAATCGCCACCAAGGTCCCCAGACTCCAACAGTTTAGATTTATTTTTGTGGGGCTATCTTAAGACACTAGTGTACACAAGTCCCATTAATACTGTAGAAGAATTAAGAGAAAGAATAGTTGCAGCTTGTGATAGAATAAAAAACACTCTAAGGATATTCAACGAGTGTGCAATTACATAAGAAGGAGAGGGGAAGCATGCATACTAAGTGAAGGGGGCCATTTTAAACAATTTTTGTAATTATTTCGTTGGTTTTAATGTTATGTTTATGTTGTCAGTTGTTGTTGTTCATTTCCCCTAATGTTTTTAATTTTTCCAATTAAATTAATAAGAATTTTGCAAGTTAGACGATAGAACCGTTTTTATTTTTTTACTCAAAAATGGCGCATCTAAGGAAAACAATCCAAAAGAAATCATTTGTTTTATATTGAACGGGGAATTCAAAAATAATTTTTATTTGGCCAAAAACTATTGGCGTATCATTTTTTTGTTAAAAAATGTGCAACTTTATTAACTTTCATTACGCACTAAATATCAGTGAAATATCTGAAGCGGTTCTGAAAATATTAATAAATTTCCATTCTTTTCCTAAAACGTCAACATCCCGAGCTTTGTAAGGAAACATTTTTGGACCATAGTTTATAAAGCGAACTAACATTAATTTTTCATGTAGATTCACACCCTTAAATATTCGCATATCAATAAGGAACACCCTGTATACTCAGTGACACTAGGAGTGTTACCCCAGAATAAAATAATTGCTACAAACTTGATTTTTTGGCAATGAGGGGTAGCCTTACATCCAGAATGAAACGATAACATTCTCACAAAATTTTATTGACAAGCAATAAGGAAATAAATTAATGTGTTGGGCGACCTCGGAGTTGCTGCTCCTGTATACGTCTAGATATCAACAAAATGAGAAGTCTGGATGTGGCATCTCATTCCAAGCAAACTCGAACTTCGAGGATTAGCTGTGGCAGAGTTTGTGGCGGATGGTGCAAAGTGAATGGTCGCCTCCCCATCATATCCCACACATGTTCGATGGGATTTAAATCCGGTGAGCGGAGTGGCCACGGCAAAATATTAACGCCTGCTTGCTGAAGAAAGTCCTTAGTAAGACAGACAATATGGGGACGTGCGTCGTCTTGCTGAAAAGGGACGTGTGGACGGCCCACTAGGTACGGCAGTAAAGTAGTTTGTTGGACATTGCCTTGAGCAAAGAGAACAGGTGATCGGCTACAAAGGCAATAGCCCCCAAACCATTATTCCAACTGTCCTGTGTTCATGCTTCTCAACAGCATATCCAATATCACGCCGTTCTCCCGGCGGCGTCTTACACTTCTACGGCCGTCGTGCGTTCCAAGACAGAATCGCGATTCTCGGTGAAGATGACATTATGCCATCCTGCCTTCCAATGTTGCCGTTGTCGGCTCCACTTCAAACGTGGACGGTATGAAAAAAGTCCAAAGGCTCGAATGTACGAATAGTAACAGGTCGACCTTCTTCTGCAAGCCATTGGTCAGCGACCTCACGCGTAGTAGCAAAACGGTCTCGTAGGGCTAGTTGTCTGAAGCGCCTATCAGTTGGCCTTCTGCGAGTTCCTCTACCTTCTTTTATCCACACACGACACACATGCATTACCGTCATTGCAGTACAACTAACACGGCGGCCAATTTCGCGATGGGACAAACTAACATCTCGATAGGCAATAATTCTACTCCTGCCAAATTTGGACATCTTCTCGAGCCACTTTGTTATGCTTAACACTAGTAAATGAAAGGGCAATAACTAAAAATCTCTACTACTCAACTCTCAGGAACTGCCTTCAGCACAAAAAAGAGATAGATTTTGACAACGGTAAACAAAATCAAAGGTAAAACGTTGACATTGTTGCCATAGCATGCTTTAAATGTAATCATTATGTTGCCAAAAATCCAGTTGAAGGAATTATTTTTTTGGATAACACTTCTAATGTCACTGAGTATATGTACGCACCGAATTGGTGCAAGACAAAATAGGTAGCTTGCATCGCTGGAGCTGGATTATTCAATAACCAGTATGTCGGATAGTACAGTGTTAGTACAATGGGACGACAAACAAGTCAAGTGTGGCTTGAGCTTTGCCTCTCCACTACCACTACTACTACTCATATCGTTCATCCAAAATCAGCAGAATCTCTAAGTTACCATGCATGAAGTGGAAAAGGCCTGTTTGTGGAGAACATAAAAATGACTTGAGCACTTTACATCGAAAATTAAAAGTATTAATGGTAAGTTAAATGAAGTTAAAATGTGCCAAATATTCAGATATGAAGACTAGAAGTCATTTCAAATGTTTAGTTTATAAAATAAACTGTCTTGTGTTAATTTACAATGAAGCTTACAATTTTAGTTTGTCATTTGGAAATAAAAGTTTAACTTCTAATGCTAAATTGTCGTCTAATTTCTTGAAGTAGTATTTAAACAGTTATTTTAAATTGTAATGTACGTAAATGATCTGAATTACAAAGCTTGATTATTTCAAATAAATATGTCTGCTGGACGTATGATTACACTGATAAACACAGGATTTGTGACATGAGAGTTTTTGGGTGTACCTTATGTATTTTGAGACCCTCAAAACAAATCTAAAAACAGAATCTTTCTATCACAAACAGATATTCGGTAACATCTACTTTCATGAATTACAATACCTAACATCTCATATTCCTGCATTTCTTGGCATTTATGCGATGACACACATATACAATATTAAGACCTGTCTATTCCTGTTTATTACAGGTATATGCGAGCTCGATGTTTAGAGACCATATTGCGTTTTCTGAATTGAAGGGTACTGAGATGTTCTGAGTACTGTCAATTTTTGTTAAAACGGTAAAAAAAATCCCAAAAACGTACTTTTACTCCCCTTGTGTTGAATGCATACGAACTTTATTTTGGAATCAAATTTGGCGACCAAGATAAACTATGGGCCCCTCATATATGTTGTAAGACTTGTGTAACGTTGTTAACAGGTTGGCTAAGAGGCGACAATCGTAAAATGTCCTTTCCGGTACCATGGTTTGGAGAGAACTGAGAGACCATACTACTGGTTGATATTTTTGCCTCACAAATATTAAAGGTATCGGACCAAAATCGAAACATACTGTTAAGTGTTTTAATTTACCATCAGCTTTGCGGCCCGTTAAGCATAGTGATGGACTTTCTGTCCCAGTTCCACCAGAACCTTGGTCTTTGGATGAAAACGTCGAATCCACCGATTCTGAAAGTGATGGTACAGAAAGCGAAAAAAATTCCGATCCTTCGTTTGACGTGCCAGAATGTTCAACAGCGCCGCATTTGATCACACAGGGCGAGCTTAATGACTTAGTTCGAGAATTAAATCTGTCAAAATCCCAGTCAGAACTTTTAGTGTCAAAATTAAAAAGATGGAATTTTCACCACGGTGATGTTAAAATTACTTTTTACCGAGTTGATATATTCTCCGATGCCAACAATATGTTTGAAGCTTAGTTTAAAAGCGATATTGGTACACAACGGTAATAAACATCCATCTGTACCTATAGCGCACGCAGATCATATGAAGGAATCATATGAAAATATTGGAGTTCTGTTAGAGCATATACTAATGAGTATGGGTGGGCCATATGTGCAGATTTAAAGGTATTAGATCTTCTTCTTGGAATGCAACTGGGATATACCAAATATTGTTGTTTTCTTTATGAATGGGACAGTCGTGCGCGATATCATCATTATGAACAGCAGGAGTGGCCACTACGTCAGGTATTAACTTCGGGACTCAAAAACATTGTTCATGAGCCACTACTTGATCCCAAAAAAGTATTGCTTCCGCCTTTGCATATTAAGTTGGGACTGATGACAAGTTTTGTTAAAGCTATGGATCGAAATGGAAGAGGTTTCATTCATTTGAATCAAACATTACCGAGACTTAGTGAGGAAAAAATTAAAGAGGGCATATTTGTGGGTCCACAAATATGAAAAATCATGAAGGGTATTTCAGTATTTGAGTATTTGACATTTGCTCTAAATGAAACTGAATTACGAGCTTGGAATGCATTTAAATCGGTTACTGCAAATTTGTGAAGCAACGGGATGTAACATGTCTCTAGAAACTCATTTTTGGATTGTCATCTCGATTTTTTCCGGAAAATTTAGATGCGGTAAGTGATGAACATGCTGAACGGTTCGACCAAAACGTTTCTGCTATGGAAAAACGGTATCAAGGCAAATGGAGCGTCAAATTGCTTGCTCGTTATTGCTGGACATTGTTAAGAGATACTTCAGGAGCAACATATCTCCGTAAAACATCGACAGCACTCTGAGATTAATTATTTATAGTATAAGCAGCAAACAAAATGCCTTATTGCAATAAAATCGTGGGTGATATAAAAAAACGAATGCTATTTCCGGCATTTTGGGTACTTTTTACATAATACCTTGGTTTGTCCATGTCACAAAAAATTATTTTAATTTTGTTCACCAGTGTTATTTATCCAGTTATTAAATGATTATCTCTCTAGGGTTAAGGATAACAAATAATCTTATGAATAGTCAAAGATCGATAGCTGCACAAAGAATCCATTAATGGTCAAAGCCAGCAAACCTTCTGATTGCAGTAGCATTAGCGATAAGTTAAAATCAAAGCAACTAACCATATATGAAGCATCTGGAGTAAGTGCTTAATGTCACACATTCAATAATTAATAATACCAATCATGGACTCACTTCATCTTACTCTTCAGCTGATCAATAACGTGTTCTTTCTCTTTCAAAACCTCCTGCGCTCTCAGCAAATCACACTTAATGTTAACCAGCTCTTGTTTGTTATCCTTAACCGGAATCACTTCTAGATCTGTTTGTGTCTCAACAGATCTACTGTTTATTTTTGAGTATGTCTGATAAGCAGATTTCGTTTCTGGCTCTGTCAGAGCTTCTTTAGACACTGTATTAGTATCAACGGATTTGTGCAAAAGTAGCACATCTTCATCCAGTTTTGCAATTTGTTCATCTTGAATCTTTATCCTTTCTAAGAAATGCTGTATTTGAGACTCTTTAAATTCGGATTGGCGTTTATAGCGAAGTTCCTAGAAAATAAGAAAATACCTCTTGAAGAGGATGATCGAACAAAAAAAAAAGAGATGCTGAAGTACGCTGCTGTCAATTTATATCAGTTTTTCGAAAATATGCCCTTGCTGGAACTTCATTCTAAATTCATAATAATAATGTTGGAATGATATTGCTTTACCTAAAACTCTCCCTCACCGGGATGCCATGGCGACGGAGTCAGTTTTGCAGCCATGGCCACTTCTGGATTCGATGGAGTAGCCACAGAGAGCTAACAGTGACAGAGTGATGACCTCATTTTCGTCGTTTCAGAATGAAATTAGAAAAGGTCATGACAATTTATCATCTCATAGAGTAGAACATAATGAAGGAAACCAAAACGAAGAAACTTCGGGTGCATTCCTTCATCTCTGATAAAGACCGAGACAATTTTTTCAAATGCGACAAACACACATGATTTTTACATGTTTTCAAATGTTGCGATCATAGCCGCGATGACATCGATGACACTTCACAAATGTCACTAATATGACTCACTAACAAGTATTTTAATGACGTAGTTTATTGGCAACGTTGTAATCTCAGAGTCGCCAGCACGTAGCCATCGCCTCCCGGTGAAAGACGAGCTCTTACGCTAATTTGTAAATTTTTCTTTTCCTGCATCCACGTGATGGCCTCTTGATACTCCTTTTTATGTATTCCTGAAAGTAATTCTCTCTCTTTTTTAAATAATCCAAATCTAAGTTCAGTTTTTCTTTGAACACCTGTGCTTCATTTTCCAAACTTCTAGCTCTATGGAGAGCGAGGAAAGCTTCGTGTTTTTCTCTATTTATGATCCTCAGATTGCTGATGTAAGCTTCTTCCGATCTTAGAGGAACACAGCCCAGATACTGTATTTTCTGCATCTTCAATAGGTTCTGCAGGTGTCTATAGACAAAAATAATATCCTTATAAATTGAGAATAAAATTTCATTCAGCTAGTTAGAATTTTAATTAGGCCAATTAAAAAAAACTATCTGACAGCTGACAATTTTAATTAATTCAGTTAAACTCTGGTTTCTAAAAGAGTTTACTGGAATCTATGAAACTAGTTTAATTAAGCCAAAACGCATTTGTTCAGTTAAATTTAGTAAACCGTTTACTCAGATTGAGTACACCACTTCATTTAAAATTAGAGAAATATTAAAATGAGGTTACCTGCTCAAGTAAAACAATTTAGATATATTTATTAAATTTCTTTAATCAGATTAGGTAAATATATTTGCCCAGTTACTATGAATTATTTTATTTCGATTTAAAAGCATAACTGAATATTTGGGATGTAAAAGAACAAATTGCGTTTTACTGAATGATGCATAACTGTGCTCTAACAAAACTTAGACATCAAAAAACTTGAGATACTTGATATTGATAGTTAATGTTTTCGAATCAAAGTAAAAACTTTCGAACGTTATAACCGTAACAACTTATTATATATGATAGTCATTATTTCAATGGTTGATAGAGGGGGTTAAAAGACGCAAAAAGTTTCATATAACATGGGGGTCAAACCGAGGTCAATCCATCGGATTGAGATCAGAAGATCTTGCTGGCCATTTTCGAGGATCAGGATCCAGCGACTTGGATAATGTGTAAATGTGTGGTGGTGCCCCGTCATGAAGAAACCACAAATTTTGTCTTCGTTGTAATGGTATATTGTCTAAGGTCTGTTGCAAAGGTTCTGGTAGGTTATTGGCTAGAAAGCTAAGGTATCCTACTCCTGAGAACTTTGGGGGTAACTCGGAAGGGCCAGTTACCTGATCGTGAAGAATACCCTCCCAAACATGTATTTCAAAACGTTGTTGGAAATGACCTTGACGAATGGTATGAGAATTTTGTTGGGCCCACATGGGAGTATTATGTAAATTTAATATCCCGTCTCGCGTAAAAGTACATTCGTCCCTCGCTAGAATGTTTTTAGAAAAATCCGGATTTTCAATGTTTTTGTGCAAAAACTACTGACATAATGTTTGTCTGCGAGGATAGTCTTTTGGTAACAAGGCCTGCACTCGTTATACATGGTAAGATAACGCAAATTTTCCCGTAGGATTCTTTGGACTATGGTTTGCGATAGTCCTACGCGGCTGCCTTATTCCCGAGTCCTATATCTGCATTGATTTCCACGATATTTAAAATTTGTTCCTCCTGCTCTAGAGTAACTTGTCTTTCACGAGTGCGAATATTAGTGGGCTAAACACTTCCTGTGTCTCGAAGTCTTTGGTACACTTGCACAAATGTCCTTCTGTCTGGGTGTACCCGTTGGCGAAATCTGTCGCGATAAATTTGAGCTGCAAGACTTGAATTCTGACGAGCTTCACCGCAAACTAACAACATGTCGGTGAAATCTTGATTCGAGAACATTGTAAAAATAAACACGACGATGTACGCGAACAAAAACAAAACAACATACTAACCACAGTTACCGTTTGCGATCGATTGCCGGTTCGATAAGAGTGATGAAAAACCGACGCGCTGTTGTCATGTGTGTTTTAAATATTCCATTTAATGAAATTTACTTACTTACTGACTACAAATTTTAGCTTAACTTAGAAAAACTTAATGCCACTTATTTGTTAATTACTCAACTTAAAAACGTTTTAGATTAGATTATAAAAATTAGTAAGATTGTGGTGATTGTGGTCGATATAAAGCACTTAAAGTTGTAAACTATAAAGCCATTTAGACAAAAATCTATTGACTTTTAGACCATGGGTCATATGAACTTTTTGACTAGCTTTGACCCTTCTTACCCATTTCAATAATGACTACCATAACGTTTACACCCTGTATATCACCATTCACTAGAAGCAATTATTTGTTTTAAATTCATAAAGTAAGGAAAGTGATTGATACCTGACAATGAATAAGGTCACTTGGTCATGTGTACAGAAATTGTATACATCGCCTATGTTTGGTATATCAATTGTCCACCGGAGTGTGCTAGATATACAGGGTATCCAATAAGTACCACGAAAAACTTAAGGAGAAGGTAGGCTGTGGACTGACCTCCCAAATAACAAAAACTTACTTATATAAAAGTGTCACCGTTTTTGAGATATTGAATTCATTCTTAAATTTTAAAAAAACGAACCTTCTCATCTCTGGTCTTTAGCTGCATGTACAAGGTTATACTTTTTTCATTTTGTTCTATATAATACTTCTAGATAGTTGCTTTATCATAAACAAATGCAATGTAGTTAAAAGATATTGAGGGACCATGATAAAATAAGGGCAGTTTTGGGATGTATAACCGTCTGATATTGTTTCCTCAACTTTCATAAAATCATATCAGGAGCAGGTAATAATAATGTAGCT